TTTTTTTTTGGATATTCATTTTATAGACCAACAAATCCTCTTCACTTACAACTTCAAGAAGACTCTCATTTCCATAATTACAATTTCCATTCTGAGTAGCGAGCATGTACAATGAAAGGGAAGGTCTATGTGCTCCTGCCTACCCTGTGGTATAGGCTTAGGGGACGGAGAGAGGGTCCCTCACTTCTTCTCTTACTCCTTAGGGCTCCTTTGGTCCCCTGGGTAGTAGAGCTTTGGTAGACAGGATGCAAGTTTTGCTGTTATCCTAAATGAAAGGAGAGGCCATGTTGGTTCAGGTCAGCTCAGAGATGTGATCTCACATTTTTAGAGGATCACACTGGTTGTTATTTGGAGGATGAACTATTTATAGGTGGGTTTAAATCACAAGTAGGGAAAATACTCATTGGACGCCAATAGACACAAGGTTAGCTGTCAGGAAACAATATGGTAGCAGTCGAACCAGATGACTAGATTCTGGGTATGGTTTAAAGGCTGGCCATGTGGTACTTGTTGCTGTGTTGAATACGGGATGGAAGAGGAATGGAAGGTAAAAAGTGTTACCAGGATTTTTGTTTAAGCAATGGGGATCTCAGTTGCTGGGTAAGACCTATTTATTTTGTGTACATTAGGTTCATCTGCTAGAATGTTGAGTTAGACATCTCTGCGACAGTGTTGAGTAGGAAGAAGACACCGAGTCCAGACTGAAGGAATGGCCGGGGTGAAGACAGGGCAGCTCTGGACGCACGTGTGGTAGGGATGTCTGAATCTGGTCAGGGTCTCAAGAATGAGTGGAAATAAAGAAAAGATACCACTGCTGGGCTCTGCCCCTGGCCATACAGAGGGTAGGCAGGCAGGGGAAACCAACGGAGGAGGCCAAGAGCTGGATACTTGAGAGGCCAAAAGAGGATCAAGTGAATGGTGTCATTGGGGACAGGTGGAGGCAAAGTCTCAACCATCGCTTGTGACAGCTAAGATGTGCTTGTGGGGCTTAGTAGCAGGAAGGTCACTACAGGGTGGGCAAGGGACCTGACCTACATGGGACAAGGCCAAGCACACAGCCTTCCTCTGGGAGTAGGAGTTGCTGGGTCTTTGAACCTCTGTCTTGCTGTGCTTATTCCAACAGCTGTTTATTTAGCACCAGAGATAGCAATAGCAAAGATTTCACCTTCATCTCGTGCGTACCTTGTACAGGTGTGGAGTTCCCATGAGTTCCTCACAGGGTACTCAACAGTCACCTCAGGAGACAGGAAGTCTCATTCACATATATGTGGGAATCCAGGACATAGCCCAGGCTTCTCTCCCTGGAAGTCTGGATCCTTCTTCACTCTATCAGTCTCTGTCTGTCTGTCTGTCTGTCTGTCTGTCTCTGTCTCTCTCTTTCCACTCCCTTTTCTCTTGCTCTCTCCTTTTTATATAAAGATGGTAAAAAAAAAAAATAGCCTCACATAACACATAGTTTGCCATAGTGACTGTTTCAAAGGGTGGTGCAGGTTGCTGGTGTGTCCCCATGCTGCACCCCGACCTGCAGAACCTCAGCTTACTGCCATCAATCCCCAGGCAGCTCCTCCCTAATCCCTTTCCCCCACTCAGCAGCAGTTACCATTCTGCTTTCTGTCTCTGTGAGCTTAGTTATTTTAGAGACTTCTTTTAAGTGGATTGACGCAGTTTTGTCTCTGTTTATTCTGAGAGGAGGTCCTGCTGCATAATCCAGGCTGGCATGGAACTTGCTCTATAGCCCAAAGTACCCTTGGACTCACCATTCTCCCACCCTAGGCTCTGGAGTGCGTGGGTTACAAGTTTGTGCTATTGTGCCCATCTGTTATTTGTCTGTGTACTGACTGACTGGTCTCAATATAACACGTTTAAAGCTTCCCTTACAAGGCTGGATAGCATCTTATCGCATATAACAGTCATCCCACATTTGATTTATTCACGGTTGATGGGCATTGGGTTGCTTCTAGCTTTGGGCTCTTGTAAAGAGCAATGCTGTGAACGTCTGTGCGGATGTATCCACTTGGACACCCACTGCAAGGCATGTGTTGTGCTACAGCTCATGTATTGTCACGTTAGCCCTCTGAACTCACTTTACTTTTTATCCTTTCCAGTTTCCTTTCCACCTCCATCTTAAATCTAGTCTGAAATTTTTGAAAGATTTTATTTATTTAGTATTAATTATTTTTATTTTGTTTTGTTTCAAAAACAGGGTTCTTCTGTGTAGTTCCCACTGTTCTGGAACTTACTCTGTAGACCAGGCTGGCCTGGAACTCAGAGATCTGTCTGCCTGTGCCTGTCAAGTACTAGGATTAAAGGCGTGTGTCATCATGCCCAGCTAGATATTTTTTCTTATTTATGTGTATGTGTGTGTACCTGTGTGAGTATATTTGCACCACATGTCTGCAATACCCTCTGAGGCCAGAAGAGGGCAAAGGATCCCCAGGGACTGGAGTTAAAGGCAGGTGTAAGCCATCATGCAGGTGCTGGAACTCAGGTCATCGGCAGGAGCAGCAAGGCTCTGGACCACTGAACTGTCTCTCCCATCCCTACCCTGTAGTCTGATTGGGTACAGGAACCACACCTATTGGTACACGGCTGTTCCCACAGCACTCTAACCATGCACACTTCATGGTAGTTACTCACTAAATATTTTTCAGATGGATGAGTGGATGCTGGTCCACCCAGGCTATCTGTTGCCACCAAGCCTAGCTACCACCCGTTATGAACGAGGATATGTTCTAAATCCTAGAATGCTTGCAGGCATCAGTCACAGTGTCACTTTAATTCAATTTACTACATTTACAGACCAATAGATTCTTCAGAGTCTGGAAATAAAGGTCAGTCGCAACGCAGCTGGAACTACAGGATGAGGCTGGATGGAGGGAGCCTGTGTGCAGCTTGCCAGATCACATGGTTCTGACTGCCTGAGAGAAGGGATAGGGCTCAGCCCCAGAGTAAAGAAACCTGTGCCCTTTACCAGGCCTGGCCACTGGGACCACCGTGCTCAGTGGAACACCAGCATGCTCCTGGGTCCCACTGCTGATCGGTGCAGTAGATCAGCAGCTGGGCTCAGGACATGGAGGTTTACACTGCACTGCTATCCAGAGTGGGGACAAGTGGGTGATACTGACCTCTTTGCTGGTCATGTCCTCACCACCCCCAATCCCTGCCTCCCACCTCCCCAACCAGTCTCCTAGATATTGTGGTTTGTATGTGTGTGAGAGAGTGAGTGTGTGTGTATGTGTGTGTGTGTGTGTGTGTGTGTGTGTGTTAGTTTTCTTTGTATTGCTGTGATTAAACCATCTATCCAAAATCAACTTGGGGGAAAAGGGTTTATTTGGGTTACATTTCCAGGTCACAGCACATCACGAACAAAGGTGAGGCAGGAATTTAAGGCAGGAACTGGGATGAAACAGTTCTTACTGGCTCTGATCTTTCTGACTCATGATCAGCTTTCTTACACTGCCCAGACGCACCTGCTTAGGTGTGGTAATACCCATGGTATGTGGGTTCTCCTATATTAACTAACAAGCAAAACCAAATGTCTCACTGACATGGTTTGGGGCCAATCTGAGGAAGACGATTCTTCAGTTGAGGTTGTAGCTGGCTAAGTGGAAAACACCAAACACCAAACACCGTCCTCAGTGGCAGAGGACACTGCACTGTTGGGCCCCAGAATTCAGGATTGGCTCCAAGTGGCACCTGGCTGTTACCCCGTCATTCCGGAAAGAGTCCCAGAGCTCATCGTTAGCCTAGGACAAAGGGAAATTCAAACTCAAAGCACAGTTTTTACTCCATAAAAACTTTATTTTAACACTGAAAAAAACGTCATAGGCTATGATAAGTTGGGTACAGCCAGGTAAATGAAAGGGAAACTTCCCATTAGTAGATTTGGAGAAGAAGTGGATTAATGCTTTTTAAGCATTTCACATGGTACCTGGCAGATAGTAAATGCCAGCAAATGTGGCTGCCACTTTTATTCTCTGCATGTTATCACACCAAGTCCTCGTGGTGAATGGAGCCATCCGTTCCCTATCTGGATAAACAATCTATGCTCTGCTTATTCAGCTGAGGGATGCATGAGGAGGAGGTGGTGGATGGGAGAATGGCAAAGGTGGTTCTGTTTACTGAGCCCTAGGGACACCGTTTTTATCTCCTCTCCTCAGTGTTTTGCCCCTGTCTCCTCAGTG